CATAGTAAGTTCTCAGGAGGGAAAAATGGCTAGTAACACAGTTTAGTGACTTGAATTTTGAAGCAGAAACATAAAAGCCAAGGAATCGATGCCCGCACAATCCTGAAACTGGCGTGCGAGGCACTTTGAACTTTCTAGGCCCGTGCTGAGCTTGGACAAGATGGTTATTTGTGTGAAGATCATCTGCTGCACACTCTGAGGGTGTTGCTATGCACTGTGGTTCAGGAAGAACACGACCTGAAGCAGAGCTGCCTCTTACAAAGTCATCAGTAGGAGATCAAAGTGTTACGTATCATCAGGCTGTGCTCCTGGGCATGCAGTCTTTGAAGGGTTCTTACTTCAGCGGGCTGTGGCACTGTTACGTTTCTCTCTGTATCTCTGTCATGAACATCTCAGCTAGACACCCCTTGACATCTCTTCTTCAGTGCTTCTGGCAGCTGAGGGAACGTGCGTGCTTCTAGAAATAGCAACTGTCCGGTGAACAAGTACTGACCAAAAGAGGTCCTCAGTAAACAAGTCTTGCCAGCGTGTGTCTTTAGCTCCTAAGAAGGTTGGTCTCCTTCTCCGGGAGACTTGGGCCTGCCCAAGGGTTTCCTCTAGTGTTTATTTGGCGAGAAAGTATAACTTGTTCTCTCCCCACCTTTCCTCTTTTACAGGAACACTTGATCTTCACTGTTTGCTTGCACTATGAGTATTCAGGAATAGAAGATGCAATGGATGAAAGAAAGGAAGTGAATGTTGGGAAGCCCCTTATTGCTAAATTAAGCCTTCAGCATGGATTCAGAAACAGCAACTGTCCCCACACCTGTTGCATGGCTGGTTATGCTTTTCGTAATCCAGTAGAATCAAGTCCAGAGGTAACTAAATGCTACTTCCCTGGTCACTGCCAACCGAATTCCCATCCAGGTGTTTGCCATCCAAACCGTGCCAGCTCAGCCAGCACCACAGAGCCAGAGGCATGTTCCTGCAGTGGGGCTTCAAGACATCAGTTATGGAATTGCTCACTCACTGTGGAAAAAAGTAATGTCCCAGTAGAGACAACCGATGATACTGTGGAACTGGAATTCCTTCTCTCTGACAGCCTCAGCTTCTCTGAGCAGCAGTAGCTGGGATGTGTCTGGAACAGACTGGATCCATCCTGGAACTGGAGACCTCCACACTGCTTACCCATCTTCTGGAGTTCGGGGGCTTCAGACAAGGCACTGGGAGTGTCTAGAGGTGGTATGGGAATGAGGTTGTGATGACAGTTTTTCAGATCCAAAGAGAAGAACTGGACTGATAGACTTAGGAATGCAAAAGGCATGATCTTTATTCTTTTCTCCTACTATTTGACATTTGATACAGGGAGAAACCCTGAACCCCTCAGAGTTTCCTATTCCATTCCCTGGCCCTCATGTGTGTATCAGGAGCAGTCACTGACATTCCAGTGCCTTGGATGTACCTGAGAACCAGCTCTGACTGCGTTCTCCTCCGTCATGCTCAGATGTCCAGTGTCTGGTAGCGCCTGAGATGGATAAAGATGTGTGCAAGGAAACCAAAACCCAAACAGAGCGAGCAAACGGATCCCGTTTCTTTTCTTCTTAAGAGAACTGCGGGTCATCGTAGGGAGCAAAGCCACGGATTGATACTGTGGTGGGTCATTCTTACTCTGCTTTTTGTTCTGTCTTCTGTAACATACTTAAGAGTTTTGCTGATCTGGGAAGGTAGTCTTTGCATGTTCTGTAAGAACACTAACTGGAAAGCTGAGGGAAAAGTGCCAGCTCAGAGCAAGCAAGGTGCTGTATGCTTGGTCTCATCGTGAGACATGCTGAAGGGTAAAACCGAAGGGACAAGAGGAGTGAAAGAAGGATCACAAGAAAAGTGATCTTATGTCTTTAGAAGTCTTGATGCTTCAAAAACACAAAAATACTGGGGTGTGAGGTAACTAACATTCAGGAGAGATTTCTGATAGGGGTGGCAGTCTCCCGTGCCCTGGTAATATTGATAAGGAGTATTGCTTTGATTAGGATGCCCGTTGTAAAAGAAAATAACTGAATGCCATTGAGGTGGACAAGACAGTTCCAACCTCCAGTGGAGAGTGCTGCCTTTTGGTGGGATCTCAGGCCTGGCAACCTGCTGGCTGAGCACTAAGGGATGTGCTGTCGTGGCCACCATGTGCCTGAGATGGGAATGTCTTTAACTGGGTCTGATGATCTTCAGATTCATCTGTGCTGCAAGGTGGATAGATGCATGTGGATATCAATGTTGCTATTTCCAGGATGACAGCTGTGCTTGAAGTAATCTGTACATGAGCCTGAGTTTCTGTTTTTCTCCTGGAGGCTGTTAAGTACTGACATACCTAGTGAATGAAATGTGCCTGCATTAACTATCTGGTGCAATTGACTTTAAATCAAATCATAGCTTGAGACATGGTCTAGGAGTGTAATATTTAGCTAATACTTTGTCACAGTTTCCTAATTTGTACGAAAGCTTATTCTTTTTTTTAACTGTGCAATAAACTCTTGTCCACAAAATGATGTGTCTGTGCCTATGTAGTTGCTATATTCTTCTACGCCTCCCAGTCTGAAAAAGCCCAAAACTTTATTCAAACAAAGTGTTATAAAATAATTTCCTTAAGAGAAAATAAGGGGAAATCTGAATCATAAGCTTTCTACAGATCTGCACACGAGGCCTCTAGGTTTCTCAAACTATGTACTTCAAAGATGTTTATTTCCAGGTTTATATGCCTTCTGGCTCCTGAGCCCAGCTGGTACTGCTGGCTGAAGCTGAGTGATCCTCCTCCATCACCTCGCAAAGACAGGAGTTTCTCTAGTATTCTGTCAGTTTACTTGAGAAATGTGGGTGAAGAATCCAATCATTAACCCTTAAAAGTACCTCCCTGGGTAGCCCATTCCAATGCCTGATCACTCTCTCCATAAAAAATCTCTTCCTAATATCCAACCTAACCCTCCCCTGGCAGAGCTTGAGTCTGTGCCCTCTTGTCCTGCTGCTGGTTGCCTGGGAGAAGAGACCAACCCCCACCTGACTCCAACCTCCTGTCAGGGAGTTGCAGAGGGTGATGAGGTCTCCCCTGAGCCTCCTCTTCTCCAGGCTGAACACCCTCAGCTCCCTCAGCCTCTCCTCATGGCACTTGTGCTCCAGTCCCTTCACCAGCCTCATTGCTCCTCTCTGGACCTGCTCCAGCCCCTCAATGTCCCTCCTGAGCTGAGGGGCCCAGAACTGAGCACAGCACTCCAGGTGTGGCCGCACCGGCACCGAGTGCAGGGGCAGAATCACCTCCTGGTCCTGCTGACCACACTGGTCCTGATGCGGGCCTGCTTTTGCTAATAGCTGTAACAATAGTTCTCTAACTGACCTAAACCACTCAGACATCTGCACATTGTCTGACAAAACTCTGCCTGGAGGAAAATTTTATCAGTCTGAGCCTTCCTTAAAAAGAGAATGGTGATGGAAAGGCATTTTCTCACTGCAAGCACTGTCTTTAGGAGCTGCTCTAACTATTTTAATCATTAGTGTTCAGTGTGAAATACTCTGGTTCTTCAGGGAAAGCTGCAAGAGGCACCCATGCCCTTTGGCCCAGATCCAGGAAAGCACTTTAAAAGTTCAGCATGCATAAATTAAGTCAACATTTAAATCTCAGTGAAATCAGTGGGCTTAAAGTACATGCTTAAACCTAGGCATTTGTTAAGGCTCTCTTTGGCTTGTGATGCCCTTTCTGAACTAGAGCCTCAGGGATTGTTTTTTTTCCTGAAGTGCAATTATTTGGAGATAATCTTTTTTTTTTGCTTGAAGTATCTGCTAGGCTAAGTTACTTTACCCTCTGCTTTAGCATTGCTGTATGGCTTTGTATAACTCAGGCGTTTGTTACCTGGGTGTGGATGTTGAAAAGGTACGGAAGGTAGGTTTAAGATAATCCAAATAAACTTGGTCTTCTCTGGCAAAAGAAGGATTCATGCACTTCAGAACGGCCAAGAGACTTCTTTCATGTTCCCTCCCCACACTGCAGTAAGGTAGGAGCTCTGCAGGCTGCCTCCTCAGTAAGGCAACCTGTTATCCTGAGAGTTCCTGAAACTGCCTCTGGCTCCAGAAGACCATCTGCACTGTGGAACTCTCCACTAAGAGATTTCAGGGCTGGTATTGCTGTCTTAGTTACTGTTTTGGTTTGTGCATCAACTACTTTTCCTCATTCTGTCAGCTTTTTTCAGTAGCTTTGGCAGCTCTCACATACATTAAGCTTCTGGGCTATGTTCACCTTGACATAAACTCCTGACTGCTGTAAGGATGATGCATTTCAGTGTTACTCCTTCTTTGCACAGAGTTTTTAATTCAGGCAGAGTAAGATCTGCTCACTTCTAGAGTGTGGCATTTAGAGCTTCAAGGTGTTTGCTTGTTTGTTTAAAGTATCAGGTGTAGGAGGACAGGTTGGGAATTTGAGGGAGTTTGTTGGTTTGTGGGTTGTTTTTGAAGATTGATCATCCTTTTGGTTTGGTAATTGCAATAGTCTAGGAATGGGATGAGGACACCTGCATGGTGTGGAAATTAGGCAGTTATCAATTTCTAAGGTACTACTGCAGCCATTTAGTCATACCAGGCTTATTTTAAGAGCTAATGAGAGAAAATGCTGTCTCCCATCATTGTTGCCACGCAGCGAGCATGAGACCAGGCTCCCTGTGGGTGTGTGCTACCACAGCAACAACCTCCACTCCCACATCTGCAGCGGATGTGGGAGGAAGCAACCAGGACTTCTCCATCCCTCCTTTAGACAGAATCTGCTGGCACCCTGCTTTCATGTTTCAAAGTCAATGGCAATGAGGATGAAAAGTCTTCAACCTGTTGTGCAAATTACTTCATTACACATAAGATCCAGCAGCTCTCAGATGCTTCCTGTGCTCTCTGATGACTAGGTGTGGTGGTTATGGTTTGTGTCACCTTTCCAAACGTGAGCCAGCTCTGCTTCCTGACATCCCACAAGAACAGGGATGCTGAGTGTGCACAGCAAGGCAGCACAGGTGGGCACCTCCCTCCCGTGGCTTACCATTGGGCAGCCTGCAGTCCTAGAGAAGCCTCTGTCAGAAACTGCTCAGATGGTTCCCCTCTGAACGGGCTGTTTGTCAGTGCTGCAGGTATTTAAAGTGGTCCCAGGATTCTTTTCTGGTCACATTCTGTCTTCTCTGTGCCTGTCAGCTCGTTCCCTCTCTGTCCCCTTCTGCTGAATGTCTGTAGTATCCGTGATACCTGTCTTGCAGGATTGGGCCAGAAATTTTGGAGAACTGCTTTGAGATATTCAGAGCGTACCAAATTTGGTATGGTTTTGGTCTGTAAGAAGCATAACAGCCTTTTAAGAAAGTAGAGAGTCACTATAAATTATTGGTTTGCTGATTCTCAAAGCTTTGTAGTTTTTGCTTGATGCCTGCCTTAGGGATACACAGAACTGCTGCAGACTCTGGTGCAGTGTTGCAGCTGAAAAGAAAACATTTTGTTTGGACCACCCACGAGATTATTAGGTCTGCTTTTAGTGAAAATAGTGGGTTCATGCCAAGCCATCTACCTGTGCTGGCAGGTAGAGAAAGCTGCAGCTGTTTGCACACACTATCCCTGCACATCAGTCAGAGGTGGGACTCATTACACACTGCAGAGATTCCCTGCTAGTGTCTGTCATGCTGTCTGCTCTGGCATAATCCAGGCTATAACACAGGTAGGACACACTTTCCTCTGGTGGGGTATACTGAAGCTAGCTGTGTGCAATATGGGAGTGAGTTTTACTTGGAAGCAGGGGTTTTAGCCTGAGCCACATGCTCGGCAGGCCCTTGGTGCCCTGCATGTGCTGGGACATCTGTACACCTCGTGCTGTCCCATC